GAACCCAGGGCCTCAGGCATGCAAGGCAAGCGCTCTACCACTGAGCCACCTTCCCAGCCCCTAATTTGGAGTTTTAAAAAATGTTTTAAATTATAAAACTAACATGTTTTATTTATTTATGTATGTATTTATTTTTATTTTTGTTGGTCATGGGGCCTGAACTCTGGGCCTATCCCACAGCTCTTCAGCTCAAGGCTATGCTCTATCACATGAGCCGCAGTGCCACTTCTGGCTTTTTTTTTGCTTATGAGGTGCTGAGGAATTGAACCCAGGGCCTCATGCATGCAAGATAAGCACTCTACCACTGAGCCACCTTCTCAGCCCCCATATGTTTTATTTGAAAGACTTGGAAAAACAACAAAGGTATGGAGTAAGAAAATCACCTAGAATCTCAATGTAGAAAGATAGTAACTGGAACATTAGCATATTTCTTTGATTTTTAAAAAAACTTATTATAGATGATATACAGGGGGGTTACAGTTACATAAGTAAGGTAGTGAGTACATTTCTTGTCAAACTTGCTACCCCCTCCCTCATTTTTCTCCTGCTTTTCCTCTCTACCAGCATCTTTGATTTTTATATAATTTTGTCTTGGTCTTTTTCAGGTAGGATAATAGTATATTAACAGTTTTCATTTGTAATGTTACTTCTTTCTGATTTCATTCTATAAAAGTATGCATTATGGTGGTTACATAATAGACTGTTGTGTAATGCTCCCAAAACTTAACCAGCCTTGTTTTTCATTTTCTTTTTCGTCTCTTTGTCTGTCTGTCTATCTGTCTGTCTGTCTCTGTCCTCTCTCTTTTGGTGCCTGTACTGGAGCTGGAATTCAGGGCCTTGTGCTCTTTCTTAGTTTTTAAACTCAAGACTGGTGTTCTACCACTTGAACTACACCTCCTCTTGCAGCTTTTTGCTGGTTAATTGGAGATAAGTCTTTGAACTGTGATCCTCTTATCTCAGTTTCCTGAGTAGCTCATTAGTAGGATTAGAGGTATGAGAGGTGGTTTTTTTCTAGCCTCTGTGATTCTAGCCCTTGGTGATTCCTAGCTCAGCAAAAAAATAAAAGAAAAGAAAACCATAACTTAGTTTAGCAATGGAGACACAGGTCACAGTGTGTAGAAATAGACTGGGGCAGGCAATCCTGACTTCTGAGCCTATTTATTTTCTGCTTTATAACTTTCTACCTTCTCTCTTAGGACTTCAGTAAAAGAGCAGTTTCCTTCCTTCCTAACAGTACCTCCTGCTTTTCCTAACTAATAAAAATAAACCCTTGAGGCAGTAATGTGAACATTTCTTTTCTGTGCCATATGTACAAGCAATATTTGTGTAGCATTTCAGCTCCTGCTTTTATAGTTGAAATAACAAAACCAAAGACCATATAAAATGTTTTTCTTACATATAAATATTCTTTTTTTTGCTAGTCCCGAGGCTTGGACTCAGGGGGGCCCAGGCACTGTCCCTAAGCTTTCTGCTCAAGGTTAGCAATCTACCACTTGAGCTACAATGCCACTTCTAGCTTTTTCTGTTTGTTTTACTGAGGAATTGAACCCAGGGCTTCATGCATGCTAGGCAACCACTCTACCACTAGGCCCTAAATATTCTTATTTAGGGTTTATTATGCTGCTTTTTAGCACTAATGACTAATATGTATTATTTGTTTTGTCTGTCCTGGAGTTTGAATTCAAGGCCAGGCACTATGCCACTTAAGCCAATCCCTCATCCCCTTTTGCTTTTAGCTTTTTTTTTTTGGATAGAGTTTAACACTTTTTCTCAAGAAAGCCTGACTGAAGTCCTCAAGGTCAGCTAAGTTGAAATGAAAATCTGTTTGCCACTTCAAGCCTTTATACGCACAACTCTTGGGTTTGCCCTCCCCATACTCAACATCTGTGTTGCTATTTCTGATTATCCTCTAAGATCATCAACCAAGAGCAATTTAACAGCCTCTCCTACTGGATGGCTCCCAGCATCCAGACCAGAGGCATTTTCTTCTGCTCTCTTCTGCCCTAAAATCTTATTCATTAATGTGAGTGCTTACTTTGCTAAATGTTTCTGTTTATTTACAAGTGAGTCTTTACATTTAGACCAAATACAACTCTGTGACAGCAGAGAGTGGCTTTGTGTTTCATTGGCTTCTGTGTCTTCAGTACCACACCTGTCCCTTAGAATGTATTTGTTTCCCATTCTGCTTTAGGAAAAGTTTCAATTTGATGTTTCTGTGTCTTTGTGTCAGGTCTTTCTGTCTGAGTGGAAGGAACGCAAAGTTGCTCTCTCACGGCTGAAGAGTTTGGAAATGAAAGATGATTTTCTCCATGGACTTCAAATGCTGAAATCTCTACAAAGTAAACACATTGTCACACTGGTTGGCTATTGTGAGGATGACAACAGTATCCTTACTGAATATCACCCCTTGGGTTCTTTGAGAAACCTGGAAGAAACACTAACCCTCTCAAAGTACCAAAATGTGAACACGTGGCAGCACAGGCTGCAGTTGGCTATAGGGTATGTCAGTATCATTAACTACCTACACCACAGCCCTCTGGGCACACTGGTTATGTGTGATTCTAATGACTTGCCCAAGACATTGTCCCAGTATCTGCTTACAAGTAACTTGAGCATTGTGGCAAATGACTTGGATGCCTTGCCTCTGGTGAACCACAGCTCTAAGATGTTTGTGAAGTGTGGCCACAGGGAGCTTCATGGGGATTTTGTGGCTCCAGAGCAGCTGTGGCCCTATGGAAAGGACACACCTTTTCATGACGAGCTTATGCCTTCCTATGATGAGAAGGTTGACATCTGGAAGATTCCAGATGTCTCCAGTTTCCTTTTGGGTCATGTTGAAGGCAGTGATATGGTTCGATTCCATTTGTTTGATATTCACAAGGCTTGTAAGAGCCAGACTCCTGCAGAAAGACCCAGTGCTCAGGATATTCTGGATACTTACCAAAAGGTTTTTAACTTGCTCAGAGATACTGGAAGGTCTCAGACAAGGGAAATGTTATAAAACCCAGACTAGTTGTTGAAGGGTAGGATTTAAAGACTGAATCAAAATTACAACAGTTCTATGCTGATGATGGAGGTTGTTGCTTATGCTTGGGGTTTTCATTATGTTTTGCTGTTTGGCCATATGATTCTTTTTCTACATCTGACTGCCCAAGTGGGAGCAAGAGCAAAGCAGATTTGATTTAAACCTGGCTTCACATTTCTGAGGATGTTTGCTTTTGGTGAAGATGTAGGAAGCAATGAAATTACCCAGTATCTGAATTAACTAATAAAAATATAGTCATAAAGAAGCCTTACATACCCTAATAAAGTTTGTAAGCTCTTAAGAAGTATTAATAGAGGGCTGGGAAGATGGCTCAGTGGTAGAGCTCCTGTCTTGCATGCATGAGGCCCTGGGTTTGATTCCTCAGCACCACATAAGCAAAAAGAAAAAAGCCAGAAGTGGCGCTGTGGCTCAAGTGGTAGAGTGCTAGC